ATGCCTAAAATCGACATAGCGAATAATGAGTTTGAGTTTAATGGTCATAGTATTTCAATTATACTTGATCATGCTAACAAACCGTGGTTTGAAGGAAATTCTATTGCAACCATACTGGGCTATGCGAGACCGGGAAAATGTATTTACGAACATGTTATTGGGCGATTAAAAAAAACTTACTCAGAACTGAAAAGGCATGACACACAATCCACTATACGAAAACATCCCAACACTGTTTACATAAACGAGCGGGGTGTTTGCTGGTTGATGAGGGCTAGTAAGAAAATGGACGAATTCAGAAGTTGGTTGTTTGAAGAACTTCTACCCAGTCTAAGGAGGCATCGACGCAATATCGAACATGTAGAAAAAAAACTAATGTATAAAAATATAATGAAAAATAGGACACAACAAGTGTTTTGTTTGTTTAAAAGTATAAACACAGATTCTAATAAAAGAATATACAGATTTATTGATGTTCAAAACAGACGTTTGAAGAAAGCTAAAAGGTGTGTGCCGCCTTTAGAATTCGAAATCTGCTATGAATTTGAATACATCCATGATGATGAGTTGATAATTGATCAAGCACTTAAACAACTAACAGATGAGGGCATCGAAAAATGCAATAGAAATACAGCAACTGTGGATGATAATTTTGATATGTTGGCATTTGTAAAAAATATAACAAAAACAAAAACGCCATTTATTAAAATCGGTCAAGCTATGAATATCCAATACACCGAATAATCAAAACATTGGAGACATCTTAAAATTACCGTTACCGTCAACAGTGGGGTTATATAAGTGATGAATATTGTTAGTTACCACGAAGAGGCGTCGGATACAAACCTCATACCCCAGCCACTTCGCTGTTTAATTAACGGTAATTCAGGTAGTGGGAAGACGAACTTGTTGTTGAATCTGATTTACAACCCTAGTGGTGTGCTGTTTCGGAATTTATATATATTTAGCAAATCGATTGAACAAGCGGCATACGTGGAATTACGTCAAAAGTACACGGATATAGAGCGGACATTGAATAGGAAGATTGTGTATTTCTTTAGCAATTGTGAAGATTTACCCCCTTTGGAGGAGTGTAAGAAAAACTCACTTGTTGTGTTCGACGACTGTCTGATGGAAAAGCAAGATGTTATAAAAAGCTATTTCATCAGGGGCAGACACAGGAACTTGTCGTGCGTCTATCTGAGTCAGAGTTACGGTAGGGTTGATATGCAAGTCATACGTAACAACGTGAACCTGTTGTGTGTTTTCAAGCAGAACAAACACTACACGAAGCGTATCTATGACGACTTTGTGGGCGCCGATATGACGATTGGCGAATTTGAAACAATGTGTAAGAAATGCTGGAGCGAACCGTTTGGATTTTTGTCTATAAATATGACTAAAAAGCCGCACAATGGCAAATATATGCGCAACCTGAAAGACACATTGACAAACGATATTACTAAAGGGGGTGTTTTATGTTAAACGTGATATTTTCGAAATCCGTGTGTATGCGGCGTTTCTTTGCAGACCCAACAATAAACGCTATATATACGTGATATTTTCGAAATCCGTGTGTATGCGGCGTTTTTTTTTATCATAATACATACGAAGACATGATGTTTTTTAATATAAAATTAACAAGGTTTTAATGGTTTATACTTAATTTTGTGTTCAACCTTTTTTGTGAAATAAAACTGGAAAAGTCGAAACATTTATAGATATGAAAAATAAGAGGAAACCGACGATAAAGACATTATAAAGACGCTGATAAAAAAACAAAAGATGGTGGATAAAAAGTGGCCCGACGAAATGAATTCTGAGGCAGCAAGAAGAATTGAAAAACTGCAGAAACAGTGGAAAACAGATGGCGAAATAAATCAACAAGAACAGGCAAAAGAGATGAGAACCGTTTTCAGTGTGCACCCGACTTTCTCTACTAAGCCGAAAAACCAAATGCTACTACCGACTAAACGCGAAAACAAACCCATAACTGTTAACGAGGCTAGGGTGTTGGATAAGCTGCAGGACAAATTAAAGAGTGATTCTGAAACCGTACGAGTATCTGAGGCCGATAACGCACGTAAACGGGAGGAAATTCAGAAGCCTATTGTTGAGGCGATAAAAGAACAGACCGAAACTATTAAGCTTGAAAGAAAACCTAAACGCATACAGGTCATCAGAAAACCGGCGGACACGTTTCGACCCAGACTATCTAGCACACCCAGTAGGAGTGATGTCCCTTCAGAATCACCTAAAGATCCAGAGGACTTGTTTGAAAATCCTACACCAGCTGTGGAAACTGAGGAACTGCAAAATCGATCGATCCGCGAATTCACAGAAAATGAAAATATCGGAAGCATCGCAAAACAATGTCTCGCATCCAGTAATGACAAAACTTTTGGTTTCTATTACGACTTCAACAACAACAAACTCGCGATCGGATCACAGCCTGTGTCGATCGAAAACAACGACATCATTTTAGATAAAACGATGGACAGATATGTCGGAACTCCGGGATTGTGGAAACTCTTAACGAGGGCGGAACTTCCCGGAACACATTCCGACTCGGCTGTCGGTGTCTCGTCGAAGATGAGGCTTATAAGCGCGGGCGTGTTCACTTCGCAGGATTTTGAAAAATACAAAGACATCTTAATTAAGACGCACGCCCTGTATCGAAACAACGATCCTTTATCACGCAGGCCCAAGTCGAGTGGCGGTTGGAAATGGACAAACTTGATAAGTGATATATGGAAGGATATTAAAAACGACTCTAAAGCACAGGGTAAGGGTCTACTAATAGACACAAACAACCCTGTGGAATACAGATATATAGACGATTACAACGAACTGAGTGATAGAATAAAGTTCATACAGGCCGAGGAAGAGGCCGGCAGCAATAGTTTCAACAATGAGAAACTCGCCATTGTTAAGCTCTTGGGCGATAAGATGGAAAAAGCTATCGCGGGACCAAAGGGTATCTCGACTTTAAACGAATGTCTAACAGCACTCTCGGAGAAAAATGGGATAAACCCTGTTTTGTCTAAAAGTTGTAGACACAACGGTTTAGTGTCGGACAGAAAAAAAAATATACACGTGTTCAACAGAAGATGAATTTGTTACAACTTTTGTGTTATGTGTTGATTTCTTAAAAACGACATTGCGAGGTTTTATATTTTTTATTGGGGATTGAAAACTCGAAATCTATATATAGATATGGAGAAATATTATAATGAGGCATCCGACAAGATCGAGAGGTGTGAATACAACACCGTGTTGCCCGTGTCGGATCTGAACTTTAATTCGCCCAATAAATATATAGTGTTCAAATTAGACCACGGGGATTCGTTCTACGACAGACGCATACAGTTCCACATACAGGGCGAGGTGGTCAAAAAGACAGGTGGGGCTTATGCCCAAGCGGATCCGATCAGGCTCATAGACAATTTTGCGGCATTTCTGTTTAAAAGAATCGAACTGAGAAAACACAATCAGCTGATCGACTCTGTGGACGAGGTGGGCATCACTAGCACAATCAAGGCGTTGACGACGTACAGCAAATCTGGCGAAAATACCTACAACAGCAGTGGGTTCAAATCGAAATTCGACAGAGGGGGAGGCAAGTTTGAGGCCATAGGCACACTTTCCCACTTGGGATTGGCGTTTTTCGACAGTCAGTTATACCCCATGTATAAGGGCGGATTCGAAATCGTCTTTACACGCGCCGAGGACAATGACGCCATTTTCCGCTGGACAGAAGGCGTCGCACCTGCTGCAAAAACGGCTGATGAGGGCAAGATTAAAATCACACACTTTGTGTTGAGGGTGCCGCTCGTCGAATATGACCCCGTGAAGAAGGTGCCGCTCATAGAAGGGCTCAGGAGGTTGAGCGACAAAAACGACTTGCAATACAGATATTATACTTGGCAGTGTGTCGAAAAATTTGGCGTATTTGGCTCGTCGTTTAGTTTTGATGTATCAAACATATTCAGGAATGTTTCCAACCCCGTATTCGTAATCGTGGGTCTGCAGACGAATCGCAAGAACGATCAAACCAAGGACCCCAGCAAATTCGACAGTGTCAATATAAAAAACTACAGTGTGAAAATAAATGGTCTGCGCTATCCACAAGAGCCGCAGAACCTGAACATCACGGACAAACAATACGGTGTTTTATACGAAAGCTACTCTGCCATACGACAGGTGTTGTTTAAAGACGAAGATGTGTACCTAAACGATGTGGACTTTGTAAATAATTACCCACTGATCGTCGTGGACACTCATCATCATCCGTTTAGCAGCGAAACGAACAGAAACGACGTTCAAATAAATTTGGACTTTACGAACGCCGTAAGTAGTCCAATAGCCGACCAGGGGACAACCGCTTATGTTGTAATTATTTCAGAAGCGGGGTTCACTTATGACATTAATAAGAATTATATAAAAATGTTCTGATTCATATTTTTTTATAACACAAAAAAAGTATACAACAAACGTTTAAAATACAAACCGCTTTCGGTGTGAATAAATTATTAATATATGAAATGCGAATTACTAATATAGGAATGGATAATTTTACGTCACTGATTTGGAAAGAACACAGGGAACCAAAAGGAGTTCTCACAGACAATTTTGTCAAAAGGTTCGATCGCTATGTCGATTGGAGTCTGCTTTCGAGGTACTATGCCTTAAACGCGCCTTTTGATTTTGTCAGAATGTATCAACACCGATTGGTGTGGGCGACTCTACTCCGATTTCGCACATTTTCAGAAAGCGAACTCGATGAAATGATGATTAATTTCGACAACGACTGCTGGCTGGTGTTGAGCAAATATCAAAAACTAACAGAGAAATTTGTCCACAACCACAGATATAAAGTGGATTGGGAGATGATTGGAAAACACCAAAATGTCAGTGATGCATTTTTGAACAATCATAAAAGATATGCATCCGCCGAAGGAGACTACTGAATGGTGTAACTGAAAAAAAAAAATATATTTTTAATCTATATTTCCAGCCGCTTGAATTTCCAGCTCTGCGACTAGTTCAATCGGCACTTTGAAATGCCCCCACGGAAGAGTGTCAATGCCGTTTTCTAGAATGAAGCGTTTATCATCGTGGGCAGATAGAGACTTTTTGTGCAGCTCTATCGAGTAGAGGTTGTGGCCCTCGCTTCTTATGGAGTTCATTGTTTTATAAATATCCACACTGTCAAACAGGCAAGTCTTATAATCGTCGAACGTCAGCTCGTGTTTTACTACGGATTTCTTCACACCTTTGGCCTTCTTTCCGCTTTTTTTCTTTTCGTCCTCGTATGCGTACATCTTCGACCTCAGACCCACAAACTTCCTCATCACCACACCGGCGAGCTCGTCTTTCCACTTGCCCAAGACCTTCTTGTTTACGCGGGGCATGTCGTAGGGGTTATTTTCTTTGTAGTCGCTGGTATCGAAATGCTCAATCATGCTTTTCACATCTTCATAAACATCATTGGTCTCTATGACCACATTAAGAGAATCAGTGTCTGTATACTCAACTCTAACCCTGTCGCCGTATTTCCTCTTCAAAACATTATAATGGAAGTCGTAGAGGCACGTCTTCGATATATCCAAAACACTCATTCCGACATAAATGGGCTTGTTGAAATAACAGGTGGTTTTGCTCATATGAATAGCGGCCAGGTTTTCTGTGAAAATGGTGCTGCTCTTGAAATTGGGCCGGGCAACCCACTTCTCTACCTGTCTGTCTTGTGTGGCGAGTCGGATGTCCACGCGGTTCCGGATGTTCTCCATAGTTTTTCCAAACACCGAGTTGTTCATGAGTTTAAAGAAATCCTTTTCAAAATCGTTGGCCGCCTTGGTTCTCATATCTGTGTTTAGATCTATATACGACTTCAACCACGGTCCTTGGTCAAACATTATAACTCTATGGATTTTTTTCAGCCTCATCCCCAACGAGAGGTACAATTTCAAGTTGCGATAGTGTAGTACGTATTTTTCTTTTTCATACAAGGTGGTGAGTAGCTTTTTAGTTTTCGAACCCGGAGGCGATCGTAGCTCTGGTGCTAGTGGGAGATCTCTGTGCGCGTCATGCAGCTCTTTAGGATACTCCAAATCAACCTCTAGTATATAACCGGTTGAGGACGTGTCTGATACCCCATGTACATCGAAATTATCTGTGTTCTCTAACCACCGTATATTCCCATAACATAGCGACGACACCATAGCAAAACCATACATATTGTTCTGGTCCAGGTATAAAAGATAGGAGTTGGGTTTCTCCGGATCGTAATCATGCATATATGGGTTGTTGGCCTTAGCATATCGGTGACAACACTGCGAGACCCCTCCTCGAATTCCTTTGGTGATCATTAGCACCATCTCATAGTCTGTTAACTGATCCAGACTTACTCCTGTGATTTTCAACATGGCGTCCCACGCTAAGCCCGGAGAGGTATAATACCAAGCCGGATCGAGTTTGTAGGTATTCATACAAACTTCACGAAAGTTCTCAATGACGTCCGCAAGGAGCAGCGTGTCTGTTCTGTTATACAGCGCGGTGTATTCTTTTAGGTTTTTAATCTGGAAACTCTCCCACACTTTGCAGGCGTGCTCGTAGTCGCTGTCCTCTATGTTGGATTTATTTAATCTGTTGTAAAATGACTCTTTCGGGGGTAAAGCGGCCTCATCAAACTTTTCAATACAGTCCATATAATCGTATGGATACACTCCTTTTTTGCACACCAGTTCTAGTTTATCCCCACTGAAATATTTTGAAGTGTGTCGAAACTGATCACTGTTTAGGTTGTTAACCAAACTATCAAGGCTAGAAGGCATGAATCTGAACGAATCTAAAAATCGTAAATTTACACCACCGGGAACAACCACCTCATAAGATATGTATTTTTCTTCATTATTAGGCACAACACGAATGTCATCATTGTTTATGCCGAACATCTTTATAAACAGGTGGGTGTCGTAATTAATCAAGTTGTGAACAAAGATTGGTATGAAGTTGGGTTTGCGGAAATTCAGATTACAAACTTTATGTGCCACACCTCGAAACCTCCCGGAGAGATGGTCGTGGTCGAGAGCTCTCTCATCTTTTTTGTTAAAGCGCCTACAACAAATATGACAGCTACTAGCACCAGCTATAGCTAGACGATCATCATCTGTTAAACGCATGGGTTTGGCAGCATCTCTACTGTATAATGTGGCTACTTCTTTAGATACATTCTCAATGCTTTCAACAAACATCTTTGCGGCATCTGGACCAAAATAATCAATTGGGTCCTTATAATCACCCTCACTATATACAACATACAATGAGAAACTGATGGCTTCGTGAGATTGATATTTTTTGGTATACGACTTATCATCCGACAACTCGGGATCACATGACGCTATGGGCGCTAAAATACTTTCAAAATCGGCATAGCATACAAAGGGGACTCTCATCTTTTTATAATGATTGCGGAAATAAACCCGTGGAGGAAAATCCCCACTCTCCGTAGTAATCATTTTTGGCATTTTTACACGTATAGGATTATGGTTGTTGCAATTTTCCTTGTGTGTTTGTAGTAGACGCTCCTCTCCAAAATGCATGAGGCAGCGATTACATATCCATTTTGTGTGTTGATTTTTACTGATTTGAGACCTCACTAATCTACTTAAGTTTTTTATCCAACAATAGTGAGTATTACCTCCTGCGTTTTTTAAATACAACAAATTTACATGTCTATCTTTCTCATCTTTAGTTATGTATAATGGATATGTAATGTATTTTGATTTATTTTCCCCAGTTTCTTTGTAATTTTTCTTGTTGCATGCGGGATAATCTTCAAAGTATTCCACATCATTGATATTTTCTTCATCTTCACAACCATACACATTTACAGAAACCCCCGATCGTTTTTCAAATTTTACCACATCAGTCAATGCTACTGGAAAATCAATATCTTTCAAAGCATCATCGAATTCGTGTTCATGTTGTTTATATTTTGTAACTCTTTGAGGATCCTTTGCAGCAGGATAAAGGGCTGATAAAACAGACCACAAAAAACACTTCTGGTCGTTGTTTCTCACATTTATTACAGCCTCTTTTTTTCTTATTCCGTCAGGTAATTCGATATAACTCGAACCCCTGATTGGTTTGTATTTATTTATGTACAGCTCTAATCTGATAATTTTGCTAAGTGACCAACCAGAACCTTTTTTTGAAAAATCCTCCATTTCCGCTAAGAGATCCCCCATAGCAGTCTCAAAATATTCTGATAAATCACTTGCTAATAAAATAGGTTCATATTTTGTTTTGTAATTGAACTCTGCAATTTCTGGATCCCTCACATAATCAATCAGCAATACAAATCTAACTTTAACTTCAGATGTTTTTAAGTGGTGTTGAATTTTCTCAACAACTAAACTTTTAAGTCTATTTAAATATGTTTTGGGATCTTTTATATTATGATTGTTTTCTATTTGATAAACATTCAATCTCCTCTTAAATGCGCGTTTGCTAAGAGTAATTTCAGCATCAGTAGTCGGAGGATAGTTGGCATTTGTTACAACCTTCTTCATGCCGGAATAAATAGAGGCCGCAGTATTATATATTTTGTTGAATATTGAAGGCGGTATAAATTGAGTACCGGAAGGTCTAAACCCATTTACCGAACGTATAACCTTTTTTGGGGGCTGCCCATTAGAAGTCGAATCAGGCGGAGGCTTACGTTTTAAGCTACTAATCCCACTAGTGCTGGGTTGAGGTTCATCTTCATTAGAAGGAGCCAACCGATTTGTTTTAGGTTGTTGTATGGCTGGATTTTGTTTACAAATTTCAACATGACTAGAAAGATAGTTTTCATTAAACAATTTTCTACAATAATCACATGGCACTTTAGGATTCCGATTACGATTCTGCGGACATATTTTCTCATGTCTTGATATATTACGTTTAGTAATAGATTTCTCGCAATATGAGCACACCGTAGTGTTAGCCATCACCTCTATATAGAGAACAATATTCTCACAGCCAAATAAATTATTCAACGAGATAGCAAAAGACTAATTAAGAACATGTTTTAGTTATCTCCACTATTGATTCAACTCTGACCCCACAAGATAAAAATATATTGTGAGTCAGAGTCGTTATAACCCTAGACTATACACACTCACTTAACACACTTCACTAACGCTTTTATAACACAACTAGCAGTTCAAGCGTACAGCATACTCTATATAGGTTTCTAGCTCCAATCTAGATTGTTCTATGGTAAGTCACGTGTCTGACTCCAATCTAGACTATCCTATGTTGCGTCATAGTGAGTAACGGTTATTCAAGATCAACATTCAATAAATATAAACAAAACTGGACTTCAGAGATATTTACAAAAGCGTAAATCTTAAACACCAGACTGGTTAATTATAAAACCGCCGATCAAAATGGCGAGGAAATTATAGGCGGATTCTATGAAAAGGAACTGCAGAAGACTGCTCTCTGAATTTCTGAGGGTGCCTCGAGTCTTAGTCCAGACATTCAAGTCCAAAGACTGAACCCGCTCTGGGGGGCTATTCAAGTCCAAGGAATGAACCAGCTCTAGAAGGTTATTCAAGTCCAAAGAATGAACCCGCTCTGGGGGGATGTACCCGCTCTGGGGGGCTCTCTTCCTCCTCCTGCGCTCAAAGCGCCAAATACATAACTACTTGTGGCACATCATCGTTATCAGAATATGATTTGTATTCAATTTCAGGAATTTTACTTAAGATACATGACAAAAACTCATATTTAGGTTGATATAAAGATTTTGAATACACATACACATTTTCAAATAGTAACCCTTGAGGTGAAAATATAAGGTTTAAAACTAAGTTTGTTTTACCACAGTTTGATGGTCCACAAACAATACATCTTATTGCATTAGGTAACAACTGTCCATGACGACGTTTAAGATTCTTACTAGTTTTATATAACATTATATCTAAATTGACAATTGGCAAACTTTTCTTTTGTTTGATGAATCTCATTTTACCAAATCACTTTTATTAATCCAACTATCATATGTTTTATCAAACCCCAACCAACGAACTAAAACCTTGTCTTTACTTGATCTAACTACTTTTTCTATTAAATATGTGTCACCGCACTTAGTCGTTCTCAACTCTTGCTCATAAAATCCGCCTTTGACAACTTCACCTCTATCGTCTTTTAAAATATATGTTACTGGCTCGGTAAACTGAACTTTATATACGGTGAAAATCTCATTACTCCAACGCGGCCAGTAACCCTTTGAAAATTCGTTCTGCTTTCTGCTTATCCTCACTCGATCACCAACTCTGAACGTTTGTTTCAAATGATATTTTTTACGGCTCTTAATTATGTTTTCCATTACATAACTTTCATTTTGACTGTTAACATCAATTGGTTTAACTCCTATAGTGCGATGAACTGTATTGTTATACTGTAAAACCAACTTTGAGAGATTGCTAAGCCAATGGTAAGTCCCTTGCTCACTAAACATAATCCACATTTTACTCTTTAGTGTTCGATTGAACCTTTCAACAATTGATGCTTTTTTATCAGAAAATGTGTAATAATGATTGATATTATACTTTTTCATTAAAGATTTAACATTTGAATTGAAAAACTCAGTTCCTTGATCAGTTTGGAAATGTTTCATTGGATTAGAGTCTAGTATTGGCATAAGAGCTTTAACCATTTCAGGTCCACTCTTGGTTTTCAGTGGGATTGCAAAAGCAAATTTTGTGAAACAGTTGATAACTGTTAAAATATACTTAAATCCTTTATTGGATTTTGAAAATTTCAACATGTCCACTAAGTCCGCTTGATACAAATCATGCATACCTTTTAATACAACATTACGTCTTGGATAATTTTTACGTGCCTGTTTATGCAACTCTTTTGCTATACAAGATCTAATTGATGCTGCCATCTTAAAGACTAGGTCAGAGTGATGATAAAAAAGACAGTAGAATCGGTTTTATACAATTTATTATCATACTTAAATCAGTGTACAAATTTACAATGAGGTGAAGCCTTCTTGTGTTCCGTCGCAGGTATATCATCAAGATTCCAATGATCTAAGACGACACCACAGTTGATACATGAAACAGAATCTTCCACTCCTGTGTAGTAGAATCCAGTTTTTACCATATCTTCAATATTTGGATATAGCTTTGGCCATATAATAAAAGTTTCTCTCATCATGCTTTCAGTATTTTCAATAGATTTTTTATAATTTAAGTAATTAGTATAGTCTCCTTCAATATATGCACTCATTTTACAGTTAGGGTTCGATACTTTATGAAGAAAGTTCAAGTGTCTAAGTGATAATTTTTCACTATCCGACTGCCAACCACAACCACAGCATATTACTTGTTCATAGCATTTTGTTCGATAAAAACCTGATTTTACAAGATCTTCTTCTCGTGCATTAAAAATATTTGAACCAAAGTCAGTATTGAAGGAAGATTCCCAAGGCGATGGAAGTGAAACAGATGAAGTTGACGAGGAGGGTGATGACAGTGTAATAGATGTAAATGAAGACGAGTCCATTGATGTTATCCAAACAGCCTCACTATGACAAATGAAGGAGAGTTGGATAACACAATAATATTAGCTTATCAATCCACATTAGACTTTAGACTTTTGATAAAATGTAATTACACAATGAGGACAGTGTTTTCTTTTTGGATTGGGTCCATCAAACATATCACCATTCGATGTACCGTTGTAGTGATCTGTGCATCTCATGTTTAATAATATGCTGACATCATTCTTTAACATTCCTGGAAGTCTGTCAAAAATATTTTCAATATCTTCATAGTGTGATATTAAGAACTCTTTAGGGAGGTATTTAACTAGTTCTGAGCTCAAACCATTGTACCCTTTTCTGTAACACTCCACAATAGCCATATTGACCATTTTGAGCCTTTCATTAATAAGTATTACCATTTTCCACCACTGAAGTAGAACATAAACATTTATATAAGCACACTTTAATGGATTGTGAATAAAATTGCATGGTTTTATCATTTGAGAGTGATAAAAGTTCGACTTAAGATCCTGTAGGTTTGGACATCCTAGATCTTCAAGGTTGACCACATTTACACCATCACTTGGTAAAAGTTTAGTAACTACTTTTTGTTTTTCTTTTCCTTTCACATATACATTACCCTGTATTTGAACACTTGCTAACACATCCTTAAGTTGGTCATACTCCCGAAATCCCGAACCCCAAAAAAGTCCATGGTGTCGTTTTTCAAGCCACATCACTTGTTTTTGCACATGGTTTGGTAAAGTAACAAAATTACAAGGTGGTTTGAATAAATGCAGTTCATAAATCTGACAATCAGTGGAAATAAGAGCTAGCTCCTTTACAACGAACTCTTCTCCATCACCCTTATATCCCTGAATATCAAGTAAATAATCCATCTCCACAAAAGAGTGCACTCGTCACTGACTAGATGATGAATGAGTAAAATTCAGTAGGGTTACTGAATTAGTTGAGTACAACTAATGATTATATCAACAATTTTTTTGTCAATTTATCACAATTTACAAAGATGGCTGGTGATTAAATCTTCTGTAAAACTCTTGATCCACATCACTGATTGATTTTTTAAATTCTGTCCACTTGTCAACATCTAGCGAAACGCTTTCTCTCCCATTTGGTGTGTATACACTAATGATTATTTTTGTTTCCAATTGGTCATTTTTGAATTGAATTTTCATATCATTTGTTATAATAAATTCTTCGTGAAATTCCATATTTACTGCTATAGACATTTCCACACAGTCGGATATCAAAGTATACTGAAAGCATACAAACTTGAAACATGGCTTTTATACCAAGAATTCTGTCTAGCCAAACAAAATCCTCAATTGGTTTTCAACTATATCACTCTGGCTGTTAGTCACTTTTGAAACTTGGATTGGACGATTAACAACGTTTGGGCTAACATCGCTAGATTGAGCTTTGTACCACCTGTCATCTCCAGTCGTCCAAGTAGATGATGACACGAACCCACTCTGTTCACGATTCCTATCTCCACCCATGCGTTCATAATTGCGTTGATGTGGTCTGGAAAAATCCAAAGTAAGGTTGGCTCTGTTGGCATTTGAAGAGCCAAGAGATGAATTTGGCCGTTCTTGATTAGGTCCAGACATTGTACTAGATCAATGGACACACTAAGACTGAATTCATTAGGTTGGCTATATGACATAAAATACAAGGCAGTCTGTAGAAGTCATGCTGGCTCAGTGGTAACGTCTTAGCTTTGTAAATAGTGAGTGTTAGGGAAACTAAAAAAAATCCCATTGAGGCAGCATGACTTCTTTTTGCCACACTTTTAAAACACTAATTATGAAAATCTAGTATTTCATCTAGTTCACTGTTTTACCAACAGATAGAGCGCGAATAGCTGCTAGTACACATCGACAGACTTGATCACGCGCGCAAAAGGAGATAAAGAAGTGTAAACAACAATGGCGGACGATGTAAACAGACGCGGCGACCCGCGGGTCGGGGAATACCCGATAACGGATAACGCCGGAATGCGATATCTTTTATCTAATTGTTTTTTAATTGGGGTCAATTGGGGTTAAATGTTTGATTGGCGCTATCGGCTGATTACTGGAGGTCAGGGGTCAAGGATTGTAAACAATAACACAAGGTATGGCCTTACCTTCGGTCCCAGACCCCGTGTACTACACTACTAACATCAGCCCTAGAGATAACGACTGAGAGAATATTACTTAGAACCAAGTCTAAGGTAACCCTGCTACAATTAACAATATCGTTCAACGAGACAAAATTGTAAAATGATGCAAAGTTATAATAATCTCTTGCAATACCACTACCAGACATAAAATCATATTCGGGACCAGTTATTTCAGGTATATTAAAATCACCAATAACTAAACATTGATTGAAGGCTAAATCACCTAACAACTCGAAAGATGAGAAATAATCTTTATAAATAGATGCGGTACTTTGAGGTTGTATATATGCTAAATGTATACAAAGTAGGAAATTAGATAAAGGTACGCGCACTACAAGTGAGAGAGAGTCGATGCTGACTGGCAGCAGGTGGTCAGCTACAGTCAGCTGTGTGGCCTGCAGCCGACGGTGAACCGCCAACAATACACCACCTCCACGCGACTTGCCTGTGCCTACTGTATCTCTGTCATGCCTAAAAATAATGTACCTATCATCCAACAACTCGCTGTTATTTATACCTTCTGTTAACCAAGTTTCTGTCAAGGCTATTATATCAAAGTTTTCATTTAAGGCTGATAAAAACAGGTCCTCAGTTTTGGTACGAACACCTCGGACATTCTGATAATAAATAGTTATTTCACTAATGGAGTCACTCATTAGTTATATATATGCAGTATAACAGTAATGAATATGTTCAGTGTGTTAATAAAATACTCTATTACATAAATACCTTCTTGTTTTTTAGCTCCAAAACAAGAAATACAATATTTTTTGTGCCAGACTAAAGAAAATGCATCGTTTATCCAATGTTGTATATCATTTTTCAATCGAAATACGGATGATAAGTTAAATTATTTTGAATGAACTTGTTTATTTATCCTATTCAGAGAGTGATTTGTTCAAAATAGTGCACATTATTATGTATCTAAGGGTTTATATGTTTATGATATACAAAATAATATAGCAATGAGAACTTTCTTGACTAAACTCTTGACCAAACTTCCCTATCCAAACTGTAATAGAAAGTTACCTTTTTAAAGATATATTGAATATAAGATTGGTATATAAGCTCTAGGAGAAAAAAGGTAGCCGTTAACGTAAACATATTTCCGTTGATTGGATAGCTTTGGCATAAAACTGTTATTTTTATCGTTAAAGGTTGTTTGTATGTATATTAATACCAACAAATGAATAAATGGATAATAATAATTACTCTATCCTACCACAAGAATGCAATCAGGCACAATCACTATTGCTACCTTCTCCCAACCACTACAAACTAACCAAGGTGCATAATATAACGAATAATTATAGTTTATGTTTAATCAATTAAGTAATTGACTGTTAGCTATCTACCTACAATTTATTGATCGTAGTTGGTATCTTTGCCTGTTTAAAACATTAATTTAGCAAAAATCAATGTCCTCTGCAAGTGTAACAAATTTATAATTTTAATTTAATTCTTCAAAAGATAGAAACATCTTTGGAAAAAATATTTTCTTACATAAAATGGTTAAGAAAAAGGTAAGAGTTTTCGGAGGATCCAAAAATGTTCCACAGCTGTTGGTTTCTTGGTTGTTCAAATTTACCTTTACCTCATTTAGTTTTTTTTTTTTTTTTTTTTTTTTTTTTTTTTTTTTTGAACTTAATGTTCTATTAAGTTGAGTTCATACTTTTTAATGTTTGCAATGAGTTATTAGTATATTTGTTGTGTACTTCAATGACACTCAAAATGTGTTGTACAAAAACATACTAATTTCCTCGCTTTCAAATTTAAATTTCAAAATAAATAGTAACGAAAAAACAATGCTATATCGTTTTACCAAATATCTAAATAATTCTTAGCTCCAATTATTTAGTTATATAAAATTAAGTGTTTTTTTTTATATAATTTAGTGTCTTTTTATAATATAAAGTGGATATCCCAAGGGAACTATTTAGCAAAATAAAGCTCACGAATAGCTAAAAACCAATATTAAAATTCGCAAAGAAAATAAATATCGAGAAATAGTAGACCTACTTTTTTAAAAGGTAAAGTTGAGAAAAGTGCACCATTTTTGCAGAAAGTGAAATGTTTCTCATTGTGCTAAAGAAGATGATTCTTTTATCTCTTTTATTGTGATGGGGCGACACTGATATTAAAATCAATAGATCAAAAGGGGTTCTTCATTAGGGGATTTACAGTTTATGAATCTCAAAATAAATGTCACTCATCACTGGAGAAGAACCTTAAAACCAGTGAGTGCCAGTTTAGCAAGACAAACGTTTTCCGGAGGATTTGGAAATTATTTAAGTAGCCCTACGAATCAATATTCAATAACGTATGAATAGTTACCTTCAATACATTTTAGTCGTCAAAATAGACTTTCATTCCTATTTTGAAAATAGAACATTTTCAGTTGTAATTCCTCCGTGTATTTTAATGTTATTAACGTTAATGTGCATTAAACAGTTTGACGTGAAAGTTACATTTAACACCGCAAAACTCAGATTTCTCATAGACCGCCATCTTACAGTTATGTATTAGAATTAAAAACAGTAAAATACTAATTCTATTGAATATGTAATACACAATTAACTATAGCCTCTAAATAACGTATTGTAACACGTCTTAAACATTGGTTTCTTAGATAAAAATACCTTGCAAGGCATTTACTGACTGACTAAAACACAATTATTTAGAATTAGGTAATTTAATAGTAAAACATTATTTTGTTGTTAGTTAATAGATTCTCATTGTGAAACAGTTATTTTTGTGTTCTAAACATAAAAATGGTTGTATATGTTTCTATAAACTTAAAATGTAGGGATCATTTGAGTGGAATGAATCCAACAATGTTCGGACCAGATATTAATATGTCAATAAATTGAGCGTAAACATGGGGGATTATGCAAACGAGTGTCTGATCAATTAAATCTGTCTCAAATGATTAATGGATTTTATAATCTCAGAGAAAGGTTGATTATTACTCTTCGTATAATTTAATTGTAGTCGTGTTATATATTGTGGGAAACATCAAAAATGTGCAGATTATGAATTAAAGTTTTAATTGTAGCTATAAAATGCGATGTAACTTTAAATTATGAATTATATTATTTTAAGGTTCATATTTTGTCTTAGACTGGTATAGGCTACATTCACTTGAAGGTTGATTTCGAGCTAACTAGTGGAGGTATAGTGAACGACCAAAAACGTCAAAGAATTTTTACAATAATGAGAAATATAAACAATGTCTATGTACCTGATGTTTGAAAAATCGTATAACCCAATAATAAGGCGTATGCAGTTTCTACATCTCGCTATCTATACGCTATAGCACCTACATAGGCTCAGTGTTAGTTATACAATTTTGATTTTTAATAAAATATTTACTTTGATTGTTTTCTTTTTAATGCATCAAGGCTTAATTCCGATCCTATATCCATAATTTGAACTAAGAAGACTAGTGGTTATAAAATGTCATATCGTGACTATATAAATAAATTTTAATTCAAAAATAATTTCGAAAACATATAAATGATCAAAATATAAAATATATTTGCAAGACAGCAAATTAAAGAGTATCACTTAAAACGGGTTTTAAATATATCATGCATCAAGCCTCGGTAGGCTTCTACCAACAAGGGACAAACCAACATAACAAGCGAATTAACGATTGATAAAAAAAATGTGTTTTTCTCTATTAGTATAATTAAGCGTATACAATTCTCACTCGAATCAAAAATACAGTGAACTATTTATACATAATTTTTATTCATATGATTTGTTGAGTTCCTCATCTACACTTTGTTTCGTTTGATTGAATATCCTAACTTGATAACACCTTAAAGTTCTGCATTTTAACAATGTGAAAACATCTTTTCATTAGTTTTTCTACTATATGCATTTAAATAAAACTAGAGACTAAACATTCAGATTGAACCATCTTTGAACTTTTTTTTTCTACATCACCTGAATATTATTGCATAAATACCTGTCTAAATACCATTACGTGTCTTACGTGTTTTCCATTGCGTGTTAAATATAAGTCACTTACCCAAAGAACGTAGGCCTAAGTACAGGCCTACGAAACAAAAAGCTGAACAGGAATAAAACTTGTAGACAGGAAAAGTCTTTGGGATTACAGTATTCAATTATATTTAGTGTTTGTCATGCATGAAAATAAAGAAATCTAAATTTAAATTTTCTCATGGTATGGCTCAATGCAGATTCAATCTTTAATACTGAATATTATAAGGAGTTATTAAACGAAACGGGCTTGATTTGTTGGTAGCTATTAAGTTAAAGTTATAAATATAATTTCTTATTTAATTCATATCGCATGGTCAATTAAAACCACATTTTATTCCCTTTTCCATGTAGACTATTGTGACTTACCAAAGTAAATAAAGGCTAGGCAATTTTTAATTCCAATGTTGTTACACATATATAATCCATTTTTATATAAAGATTATTTAACTTTTCGAGTACCGTGTCTTTACAAACTTTGAAAACAGTGAAAAAAAACAGTGAAACAATTTCTCTTCTTTTTTCCTGAGAATCTTTCATTATTGTGGCTGAGGAATGTCAGAGGCTAAGTCAATAGAGCGAACGTCAATAAAGTCAAGACAGTAATATTGACGTCAATTGTCTTCGTTCCTTTACAACAACATTTACTAGAACATTTATTTAACTTGATAAACAACGAAATTGAGTTTGTCTAATGGGCTACTTAGTTTTTTATTTAGTTTGGTAAATGGGCTTCTTTGTATTTTATTTCAAGTAAATTTCAACGGTAAAATAGTTTTGTCGTAATTTCATCACAGTAAATTTTTTGTTATTGCGTTATAATCTTTTCCTTTAATTTATTTCCTTTTGTAAACGAACTTTTTGTAATATCACGGTAGAAATCAGTGTATGCGTAAAGAACAGATATTAGATTTTTATATTGTATCACATCATAAACATGACCTCGCTGATACATAATAATACATAACAAAATCGTATTTAGTTAACAATGTAACAAGAGAAAACTAATAAGCCTGCAGTTATTGCTAAGACTATAAACTACAATAAATTCCTATCTCCAACCTCAGACATTTAAACACATCAATACAGCACACGAAAACAATACAATACACAATAGAACAATACATACACAACAATACATGTATAGAACAATACATGGCAATACAGTATGTGGTCACTTGGTAATTATCTCTTGGGTAGATATATAATATACTTATTATTTCGGCCTGTATGAAGGGTATTTTGTATTTCATCCAGTAATCATTTTCTACAGAACTGTTTGGTATGTCTATAATTTAATTATTATCTCCTAATATTACATTTTTAGTTCTGAAAAGAAACCATATGCCCAATCTATTAAGCCCTGAAATTTAGATTGCATAACTGTTTCAGTTTTAAGGCACAATACTGTTAAAAGTGACAATTTTAGTGAATTTTAACAATAATTACAAAGTGTATGCTTT